TTGATTATCTTTTCCAGAATCTTCCCAGGTATTGAGGTCAGGCTGATAAGTCTGTAATTTCCTGGATCTATTTTTTCCTTTTTCTTGAAGATGGGAACTACATCAGCTCTTTTCCAGTCCTCTGGTAGTTCCCCAGTGCTCCAGGATCTTTGAAAAATATAGTTCAGTGGTTCTGAGATCACATCTGCCAATTCCTTGAACCTTGGGGTGTAATCTATCTGGTCCTGGTGATTTGAACTCATCCAAGCTGTATAGGTGGTCACTTACCATTTTCTTGCCCATCTTAACTTGTGTTTCTAATCTATTTTTATGGTACTGTTTTTGAGAAAACTGTTATTTTCCCCTTTGTGTAAAGACAGATGCAAAAAAAAATTGAATTAAATAGTTCTGCTTTCTCCCTGTTGCTTCACACCTTCTTGCCACTTTCCCCCACTAATGGACCAATCATTTCCTTCACTTTTTTTCTTGTTTTTTACATGTTGAAAGAAGCTTTTTTGTTAATTTTGACCTTGGTCACAAGCCTTAGTTTATTTTGAGCCTTAGCTTTCCTCACCTCATCTTTGCAGGCTCGGACTAGTTGCTGATATTCTGCTTTAGTTATATGCCCCTCTTTCCACTTTTTATACTTGTCCTTTTTATCTTTCAATTTATCAGAGAGTTCTTTATGCAGCCATGCTGGTTTCTTTTGAGAGCTGTTATTTTTCTTCTTTGTTGGTATTGTGCTAGACTGGATTTTTATTATCTTGCTTTTCAAAATTTCCCAAGCTTCTTGAGTTTTTTCCCTTTGAGGATTCTCATCCATGGAATCCTTCCCAAGCCCTCTCTAAGTTTATTGAAATTAGCTCTCTTAAAGTCTAAGACTCTAGTTTGACTGTGTTCTATTGCTTGTGCTTCCATAATGTTGAATTCCAATATTGCATGATCACTCTCCCCCCCCCCCAAGATTCCTGTGGCTTCAACAGCTTCTATCATTTTGTCTTTGTGAGAATTAGATCCAATATGGCTAATCCCCTAGTTCCCTTCTCTACTTTTGGGAAACAAAGTTGTCTGCAAGGTTTGTCAGGAATCTCTTTGATCTTCCACTTGGTGCAGAGTTGTCTCCCAGTTGATGTCAGGGTAATTAAAGTCCCCCATTACTATTATCATGTGCTTCCTACATACCTTAGTTGAGTTCTTATACTCTTTCATGGTTTCTAAAATTGTCATTCCTGATTGGTGAGTTTAAATTTGTCTTTTCTGATATGTTGGTCAGTGTCTGTTGTTGGGTTAATTTCCTTCTCGATTCTATCTAAAAGGTGTTAATTTTTGTTCCAGGAGGGATCCGGTGTTAATTCTTTTATTGTTGTGTACCTTTTGGTGTTTCTATTCTAATCCTGTCAATCCTAATTGCTGTTAGCCAGTTCTGCATTCCTTATAGCCAATGTGTGTTAAGTGTTTGTTTATTTAGCCTCAGGCTGCCGCAGCATCAGACTAGTTTGTATTGGGTTCTTCCTGTATTTGCCAAGGTATTTTCCCTTTGGGTTGAGAGGGTGTGTGTCCTGCCTGCTGGGTTCCTGCCCCAAGCTCTGGAAATCATTCTGCAATGTGTTGTAAATTGGTTGTGTTCTAAATGGGTTTTATCTGTCTATCCTTTTCCTGAAACATGACCAGCATTTTTTTAAGTTGCAAGTCCTTGTGTTTAACATGTTGCAAATGTTCAAGTTCAGAAGTGAAACTTTTCATGTATGTCCTCTTACCAGAATCTAGCTTTCTTTTGTCTTCATCTGTAATCTCCTCATTTTGACTTATTTCTTTAACTACAGTATTAATGCCTTTTCAAACTCTGCCTATAAGCTACCCCCCCTTTCTACTTCACCTTTGTCTGCCTCTTCTGGGAGAGTCCACCCAGAAAGGGGGGGGAGTTCTTACTCATGTCTTTCAGCCCTGCATAGATGACCCCCCCCCAACCCTTGGAATCAGAGCACACTGACCCAGATGCTGCCTCCATCCATATGAGCCATGGAATTGAGTTTTGAATCCAGCCATCTACTAAAAAGCCACCATGCAACCTGAGTGGAACATCTTCCCAAGTCCTACCATTCCCCTAGATGCCTGTGGAAAAAAAAAACTGCAGAGGAAGGAAGGAATCCTGGAGCCACTAGTCCCATGTGAAGCCTCAGAAGAAAACTAGGAAGACTATGGGAGGAGGGTGGAAACTTATTGTAAAGTTTTCTTTCTTGCCCCATTTGTATTATAACAAGCCAGTTGAACATATTTTATGAAGAAATGGCATTTGGGAATAGTTGGCACAGCAAGTACTGAACACCTTGGACTTCTATCTGGTGGGAGGGAAAAATTATCCAGAATGTTCGTATTGCCTGTTTTGTATTAGTAGCTGCACACACACATGCACACACCATTCATAATCACACTACTGAGTCTCTTCCACCTACCTTCAGTAAAGTTCCTCAGGATGATTTTTGCTCTATTGCACCAAAGCTTTGCTTGCACAACTTCCTGAAAATTCCAAGGGGGAGGGAACCAGGCCCCCTCAGGTAATTTGCACTTCATGAGGAAGTAGCAGGAAAGAGATCCCCAAACCTCAGCCCTGAATATCTTGCACTGGTGAACTCAGATTGGGAGTCCTAGAGCTCATTATGTGCAATTTAAAGAAAATTTTGATAGCTGGCTTGTATACCGGCTAACCTCAATTGGACATTACAAACCTGGATGCACTGAACTAAGAGCGAAGGCAGGAAACAACCCTTGAAAATGAGCAACCAGTGGTTATGTACTGAGGCAAACCATGGCTGTGAACTCAAAGTGACATCCAACATTTGAAAATGATTGGAACAGAATAATGGACACTATAAATTTCTTTTCCACCTAACAAAATTTTTGCCCTGACTTTTAGAATTTAATGAGTTGGAAGCTCCCCTTTGGGAGCCACTGCAGGGATCTTTTTCTGCTGCCTCTACTAGTGTCTTCTCTTTTTGGCTTAACAGTTTAAAGCTTGTTTACCAAGTCTCCCTGATCAGATCAATTTTAATCTTGTGCCAGTAAAAGCGTGTTATCCACATTATTATGGCACAAAGGGGGGATATTATGGGAAGTCAGCCCCCCCAGAGAAGGAAATATTAAAAGAGCAGAAAAATATATTTCCTCAAAAGGATTTTAAAAGCAGAAATCAACCCTGCCCCCAAGTCTCTGTCCCAAGCAGAAGCCAGCTCTATACAAATGCAAATGTAAACTATCAGGAAAGTTGGAGCTAGGAGAAGACAAAGACACCTAAAATCTGCATATCCCACCCAAACTCTAGGAGTCATTAGCCCTAGCACCAGGGAAGTAGGATATATGATGGAATTAATCCACCAACAACAGGAGTGCCAGAGAGGCACACTCAGGTCAGAATATGTGACACAGGAAATACAAAGCCTGAAACAGGAACAGGAAACTACTTTAAACAAAAGGCTCGAGAGGGGTATAAAAACCTACTACCCATATGCTCAGCCCTTCTTTTCCCTGGTCTTTCCTTCAAGAACCATCTGTCTGGTTCTTCAATAAACTGCAACTTTCTTTCTAAAGCAGTCGCCATGTTGCTTATTTATCCCCAGCTTGGATGAACCAGGATGAAGACTTTACTTTCAACAACTGTATCATAGTTTTGCCCCTTTGCTATTGATGCTGTTGGATTATTTTATGGGTTAGAATAGGAGGAAGTTGCTCTGCAATTCTTGCTATAATTTTGAAAGTCATCTCCTATCAATTAACGCCCACCAAATGCAACCTTTTCTTTTTGCAGGAGGACTGTTGCTCATGAAAGCAGAAAGAAGAGGGAGAGAAAGGAGTGACTGCAACCTTTTAATGTAGGGTGCAGCTATTGTTGATCAGAGTGATGCTGACGGGAAGAAAATCAGAGACTTCCAAGCTGCCTCTTCCTATTTCTTTCCCCAACATTCCTCTTGCCAAGTCACTCTTTCTTTGTACCCTCAGCATAAAAGGGAAATGTATACTGAAAAAAGAATGAATACTGTGCGTGAGGAAGAGAAAAAGGGTTGGAAACAACCACAATGCATAAGGAGAAAGGCAATAGGAGGCAGATTGTGCTCAGGTCTCCCTCAATTTTTGACAATGCTATTGCCATTACAGAAAAGCATGAGAAACACAGTCCACTCCATAACTGCATGGCATTATGTTGGACACTCTCTCAAATTGGTCTATCCCTTCAGGAGAGCTTTTCTGGACAGACCAATGCACAAGAGTAGAATCTAGCAGTGTTCAAGCAAATGTATCAGGAAAACTCAAAAGCATCAACAGAAGAGCAGAAGCATCCTTATTCCCTAGCAGGTGGAATTTAAGCTAGGCTGCTTGTAGTCCAAGGTAAAGATAAAGGTTTCCCTATCGGTCATGTCCAATTCTAGGCTACAGTGCTCATCTGGGTTTCTTGGCCAAGGGAGTCAGCCTTGTCTGAAGACAATTTCTGCAGCCAGCATGGCTATATGGCCGCAAAGAATGCTATTACCTTCTGTAGTGGTCCCTATTAATCTACTTGCATTTGCATGTTTTTGAACTGCTAGTTGGGAAGGAGCTAGGGCAAGTAAGCTCAAGTCTCATACCTGGGCTATCAGCTCTCCAGCTGACCAGCTCAGTTTCTTTAATTGCTGAGCCATCATGCCCCTTTATAATCCAAGACTGGTGGGTTTTTAACAGTCCAATCTTCCAGGAATTTGTCTAGTTCCTTGTGAAAACAGTTTCCATTCATCACCTATGACGGCAGCACTTGCCACAGTTTAATTAGGTGTTGTGTAAAGAAGTACTTGATGGGCTTTGAATATTCTTGCTTTTCTTTTTAAATGATTAGCCTATACTTTCACAGGGTAGCGGAGGAAAAAAACAGTGACTTTTTCAGATTTTCCACGGAAGGGATGGCATAAAAGCTAAAATGAAATAATCAAAGTAATACAAAAGAGCCATTTTGTTTTAATTTATAAGAAGCAAAGGATTTATCTTCCAAAGAAATGCAAGCTTCAGAGGAAATAGGTTTTTATATGAGCATAAAAAAGGCTGAAAGGGTTACTTTCTTTCACCCTGCTGTTGATACCATGCCCTTTCAATTTTTTAAAAAATCTATCTTAAAGCCTTTCTATATTGAGCTACCATTGCTTGTTTAATTGTATTCACTTATTGTTAGAACTGTATTTTGGGAGAATCCAGAGCTGAGTGCTGACACTTTGTAGTACTTCAAGCTTCTGTAAGTTTCAGTAACAGGTGGTGTATCTTTTTAAACATACATTGTGAAATATACACAGCAATTGTAGCAATTAGCTGAAATCATAGGATAGGAGGTCTATAAAGTGGCCAGTTCCTATAATAGACTGAGTACCTTTATTGTTTTTCCAATAATGAAATAAAGTTGAGTATCACTGGTAGTTACAGATGAAGAATGCCCATTCTCTGTAGGCCCTTCCATTAATCTGCTTTGTTAAAAAAAACGATGGTTCTATTTCCAATTCATGTAATGATTATTGATTACGGGCCATCAAGTCACTGTCAATTATTAATAATCAGATTTTCTCTGGGAGGGTCTGTTTCCTAACAGATCTTTTTAAGTCTTTGGTCCATGGTGGGCACAACTTTGCTGTAATTGAGTCCATCTCCTCTGCTATTGCTTTTCCTCTGGCCTTTCATTCCACATTTCCCAGATTAGATCCTTTACTGCAGAGCTGGATCTTCGCATAACGTTTCTGGAGTGGGATAACTTGAGCCTGACCATTTGTGCCCGGTGATAAAGTGATGATTTATGACTCCGTTCCTCTTGCAAGCAGCCCAAATGGGCAGACAGAAACTCGTCGACGTCAAGTACATTTGTTCTGATCTCTTCTGGGGATTCGGATACTAGGCCGAGGCCGCTCAGCCGGCAGGCGGGGAAAAAAAAAAAAAAAAATACCGCGCATCTCTCAGAGGCTTAACGCACCCACTTCCTCCACTCCAAAACAGCCGCGCTGCCGGCGGCCACGTGCAGCCCCGCTTTTCCAGCTCTCACGCGGCGGCGGCGGCGGCGGCATGCCTCATTCGGGGTTGCTGGACCCTCCCTTTCGCGGCTCCTGACCCAAACAAGCAATCAAGTGCTTCTTCCGGAGCTTAAATCGCCGGGGCAGATAATCCTGAGCCAAGCTGTTCCCTCGTTCTAGTCTAAACCGAGGGGGAGGCGGACGTTGGAAGCCTGGCCGGAGAGTCGCGGCCCGCCAGCGGATCCTTCGGCTCACCCCCTCGGCTTCATCAATGGCGAGCCCCACGAGGCAATCAATGGGAGGGAGCAGAAGATCAAGATCGGAGCCCGCTCAGCTTCGCGCCTCGGCTAAGAAGCTTACCTCGCGGCAGATGTTGACAGGCTCCCGGCCAGCTCCGATCACTTGGAGGAAGGAGGGGGAGGACGAGAGCCGGAAAGCCCCCTTGCCTCGCTAGGAAGGAGGTGCAGCCAGGGGCCGTTCCCTTGGCGATTCGCACCCTGCCTTGACTTTTTCTCTCCCCACCCTCCTGCTCGCCTCGCAAGCGGATTTGCGCGCCAGCTGCTGGCTGGCACCGCTTCCCGGGCCGCCGTCCAGCCAGAGCGAGTCCTGCAGGTGGAATCGGCCACTGACGAGTGGTCGGAGTTTCTTCCACGGGCGCTCCAGCTCTTCCTTCTTCTGCTGATTTTCCTCTGTCTCCCGGTGGGCGGAAAGCCACTCCAGTATTGCTGCTCTTGCTTCCAATCTCTCTCGCCCTCCCCAATCACGCCCCCCTCCCCGCTCGGCTGCTTTCCATGCTCTTAGGCGGGGCGATGGCCAAGATCCGAGTGGCTTACGAATACACCGAAGCTGAAGACAAAACCATCCGGCTGGGCTTGTTCCTCATCGTTTCTGGTATCTTGTCACTTTTCATCTTGGGTTTCTGTTGGCTCAACCCGGCCCTGCAGGATTTACAAGGCAAGGCGGCGAACTGCACCGTGCTGTCGGTGCAACGGATCAGCGAGGTTTTCGAGTGCACGTTCACGTGTGGCGCCGACTGCAAGGGCACCTCCCTGTACCCCTGCCTCCAGATCTACGTCAACAACTCCGAATCCAACGCCCGGGCGCTCCTGCACCCGGACGAGCATCAGCTCCTCACCAACCCAAAGGTAAAAGCACCGGCCGGTCTCTGGGCATATGTCAGGGGATACCACTTTATTTTTAGGGCAGCTCAGAACTGGGGTTAGGGAAGCAGGGCTGGAGAGAAAATGGGCGAAATTTCTCCTGAAAAGCTGATCTTGGGCAAAGGTCAGAATGAAAGACCTGACGCTATTTGGGAGGCAGACAACTCGGCCCGCCAAGTATCTGAGGGTGCAGAAGCTGCCAAGATGGTATCTGTGGAGCCTGTATAGGAGGGCTGGACTATGCTAGCAGCGGGCTCAAGTGGAGAGTCCTGTAGTTCAGAGGTGCCAACTCCTGGCACTGAAGCCTCAAATTTTGGAAGTCTGGCTAGAATAGCTCTGTAGTGAAGGCTGAGCAGAGCCTGATCCAAAGGGGTTTTGGGATTATAACTGATAGTAACCAGGAATAAATACGACCTGTTATTGTAAGCAGCTGGAATAGTGTTAATAGGCAAAGTCACTGCTTATGACATCACAGAAAATCAGTTCAAATTAATAAAGTTCATTTGGGCACCAAGTGTCAAAACTTAACCTTCTTCCCTTGCCATTACCTTTCTTCCAGCCTTTGGATAAGCACTCCGGTTAGGAGAGACAGCAAGCAAAGGCGAAGTAAAAGCTCTTTTTACTCTCCAAACAAATCTCTGCTTCTCTTCTTATCCACTGTGCAGTCCCCCTTCTGATATCACTGGCATGATCTCTGGATCTGACACAAGGATTTAGGTTGGAACATGACTTGTAGAGAGGAAAGCCAGTTTAAAAGATCTGGACTCATTCATTTCTCAAAGCAGAGGACAATGATGATAGAGAATCTGCAGCAGACTACAATGGCACTAACCCCATCTATTATCCTATGTACTGTGGCTTGTTGCTACTTAAGGGGGAAAGTCCTTAAGTAGCAACAAGCTACTTCAATCCGTGGCAACATTAGAACTGAGACTTGCCTGCCTCAGATATGAGTTGCAGACACAACAAAGCTAACAAAACAAATTGTTGGGGCATATCTGTGAGGAGAAAGTGGAGAAAGTCTCTTAGATTAACTATTCTCCAAGAGAATCTGTTGCCTGCTAACTGCCATTCTCCTCAGGCTATAATGCATGAAACATCTAGAAATGAGAAACTGAAAGGTCATTACAAGAAGGAGGATGTCCCCTCAATCATAGGGTGATTGATCATAAAAGAGAAGAAACTATCCCATTCAAATATGATATGTTGCTTTGCCTAGAACTCAGGCATTCATAAAATGCTGCAATAAAAATATAAATTTATTTACTTATACATATATTTACTCTAAATTAAATAAAGAGAAAATAATAGGCTTTGTCCAAGGGTAGGTATCCTGTAACTGACAGCTTTTAGTCTCATTCTGTCATCACTGCCAAGAATCAGTAGCATAATTTTGAGGCAGGAATCCCATGAACTTTCCTAAAAGTGGATAGAAATGATTAATCACCATACACTCCTATTAGTAGAAGAAAGTATTTTGGCTTGCAAGAGATGCTTTAGTAAGCTATCCAATTTTGTACTGAACAAAATGAACATGTTTGGGCAAAACTGGGCTTTGGTTATCTTTTGTGATATACTACCCAAATGCGCCCAAGTTGATTGCTATTATTTTTACTGTTAGTGGAGAATAAGGCAAGTCTACACCTTCTCTATTTTACTAAAAAGAATTATGTGAAAGTATTGACTGTTCAAGACTTGGAATTTAAAGGAGACTGTGACTTGGAATTTAAAATACTAAAAAGCATGAATATATGGAATACAAGGAAAGAAAGGAAGACAGATATGTGCCTGTAATTAAGATCAAGGGAAGGATACAATAGGTCTGAATGAAGGTGATTTAATTTTTTGGAATAGACTAGTAATGGTAAAGGTTTAGTTATAAATGAAAGGGCTGAATTATATGCTATAAAGTATGAATTGGTGTCATCTAGATTGTTGTCTAAATTCTTACCTTGGTTACAAATGCATGTTGTGCTTCAGGGAATGATATCAATAGAAGAAACAAATTAATTTTGGGAAACAGTCTGTAGTCAGGGAAAACCTTTTTTCTGGCAGGTGACATGAGAAGTACAAGACAGGAAAGTGCAGAAAAGAATGAATTGTGAGTATAATTTATTTGATTGTTTATGTTGTAAGATTAAGAGGATTAGTGAAGAGTATAGTGACGATGAGAGGGTTTGAATGGAGGACAGTGTATTATTTTGAAGTGTCAAGAGTGAATCTGGGAAAAAATGGACATCAAAGAAAAGGAAAGCAGAGAAAAGTATTAAAGAATGAGAACTAGGGATGCCTGCTGAGCATGATAATGGTAGCATATTATAAAGGTCCCACAGACACTGTTGAATTGGGTATTCTTATAATTATGACTAATAAAATAACTAATATATGTGTGATAATAAATAGAATGCTTACACTAAGTAGGAAGTAAGATAGGGATGTGTGATTGGTAGTTTCATGTATTTTCAGAATCATGTATAGGAAATTATTGATAATTAGGAGTGTTTGTTAATAAGGCAAAAATGAAAAATTTTAGAGGTATAAATACTGGTGGGAAGATGGTGGATAGTCTTCAAGATGCTAAAATAAATTTTATTTTGATGTCTTACATAGTTGCTATTTTTTCCAAGGACTTAATTTCTTCTTCCACTTCTGCTGGTACAACAGAATCATCTCAAGACCACATAACAAAATTCTACATAAAATCTACTTTCAGCCAAATATTTTTGTCTAAGAATTATGTTGTACTGGTAGTTTAAATCCAATTCACATGGACCATTTTACCTTTGATATTATTTAACAAATAATAATCTTAAATTTCTTCTAGCAAAGTTGTCCCTTTCTGATCTATAGCAGAGGAAGAAAAGATTATTTTGTGTTTTAAATATTTCCATGCTAGAGATAATGCTTTTTTCTTTCAGTGCCTGGTGAAGTTCTTTATGTTGCCAAGTTAAAGATGTAAAATCTAAAAGGCTCAAAAATATGTTGTATTATGAGTTAAAGCTTGAGAAATGAGAACTGAAGGTCAAGGCTTTCTTTTCCATTATGAAAAATGACCCTAAACAAAAAGAATGGAAAAGTTAATAAGTGCCTTTGGAATTCATTCCTTGGAATTACATTTATCAAGTAATTCTGCCACCAAATAGTGGCTTAAGAGGTGCATGAGTTGACTTTGAAGTTTTAAGAAAAAAGGCAAGGAATAAAAGGTTTCAGAAGGAAGCACAGATAGAAAATAAACTGTAAGAGTTTTCATATGCATGAACAAAACAATATGTGCTGAAAAAGAGATGAGCAATTCCTGGCCATATGAGACCCTGCAATTCTCTTGTGCAAATCTAAGCAATTCCCATTGTGTTCACCCAGTTTTGGCAAGAACTTGGAGGCATTGAAGGGCTTCTTTAAAAACTTATATCTATATTTTAAAGTGTGCATAGCTGTTTCTCTCTTCCTGTATTTGCAGGAAAGGATTTTAAAAAGATTTTTTGAAACTGTCTTGTCCACTTTTCTGTTCCATTTGTTTCTACTTATTGAATTCACCTCAAAAACAAAGGCATCCAAAGGCCAGGTGCAACCCTTAAATGAATATAGTTACCTTTTCCTGTGTTACAGAAAAATAGTCGTCCTGTTGGCTTGTGCTGCCCTAATTAATTGGATGAGGCTAACTATAGAATAGAGGCTATATTTGTTTAAATAAAGGTCATTGAGGATAATTCAATTAGACAAAACCTAGAAAAAAATAACTGCTAGATATATATTCTGATTATTATTTTGTAGTCATGTTGTTATCTGTATACTCCCTTCTGTTATTTCCCCAAATGAAATCATAGGATTGCAGTCTAAATTCAAAATAATATATAACCCAAAGCTATAGTACTGTATTTTCCGGCGTATAAGACGACTGGGCGTATAAGACGATCCCCGACTTTTGAGAAGATTTTCATGGTTTAGAAAGTCGTCTTATATGCCGGAAAATACGGTACTTCTTTTGTTTCACATTGGAAGTTTCTATTGAGGTGGCTAGGTTACTGTTTTTCATGAATGTGTTAATAAGTACATACACTACTAGCTAACTTTTAATGATGGCAAGGAAGAATGTTCAGAATAACAAATTGCCCCCCCCCCCAGATGTACAGTATATTTAGTCACGTTCATATAAGAATTTGTTTCAGGGGCAAGAATAAGCCTCACATCGCAGCATACAACACTGAATTGTGAAGGGGCAAATACTTCCAAGTTCTGGAGGATTTGATGCATTGTCAGAATTCTTTTCATATAGAACTTTTCACATATAGTCAGCCTATATCGAAAGTTATTAAATTATAGCTTTGTTGACTATCAAAAACAATTTTGGGCTATTAAACCAGATGTAATAACTATAACCTTGATCATTCTGCTTCCTAAACAAGGATGCATTCCAGTTGGTCAAAATAACTGTCCACTGAAAGGTACTATGTTTGAAATATTAGTGGTATTGATAATGTGAACTTTATTTCATAATTAGATGCATAATAATTCATTTATGTATTAAAATTGTTCACTTTTCATTGTTTAAAAACAAATCCCATGGTGAGATTCATTTACCATTGCAAGTCAAGTGAGAGACATGCATATGTGAATCAGCTATCCATTTCCCTAAATATGCCATTAATCATCAGTAATGTTTTCTCTAATCTGATTTTCTCCAAATATGTTCAGCTCACTCACATAGTGCGTGATTCGGGAAAACTGAAGGCCACTAATGTAGTATGTCAGTGTTTCTCAACCTTGGCAACTTTACGATGTATGTACTTCAATTCCCAGAATTTCCCAGCCAGCAACACAAAAGTCTGGGAGTTGAAGTCCACACATCGTAAAGTTGCCAAGGTTGAGAAGTACTGTAGTATGTTATTCAGCTGAATATATATATTTTTAAAAATGAATGGTTTGAATTGTTATTGGTATCTTTATCTGACAACTTAAAAATGTACTAAAATTATTCTCACCCTTTA